AACTCATAGGCCCAAACACCCCCTCCCCTTACTGCGCGATGAGATTTAGTTTGTTCATGAGAATTGCATGTTGGGATGAAATATCCCGACAAATGTCCCTTTTTGGAGCCCATAAATAAGATATGACATAAAAACCTTTATTGATCTCCGCAGGGAAATGCAGGTATCAAGGCTAGGGTGTCCGCAGGGTCTTAAAAAGTATTAAAAGTTGATAAATTAATTTAGCAAAAATGAAGGCTATTAAAAAGTATTAAAGGGGAAAATGCCCTTTAATACTTTTTAATAGCCTTCATTTTTGCTAAATTAATTTATCAACTTTTAATACTTTTTAAGACCCTGCGGACACCCTAGCCTTGATACCTGCATNCGACCGTACGTAATGGTAATGCTGCTGAAAGCAGATCCTCATTCGGAGCCGCAGAGCTTATCATATACCATAATGGCAGAGCCGACAGGCAGGAGAACTCGAGACCACAGGCTGATCATATAATTATTATAAAAGAACACATTGCGTGTCATAGATGGCACATAACAGTCACGGCCGCAGATTCTCCCGGTCCCAGCCCCCCATACCCAAAAAATATTTTTTGTTGCGCTCCATGAATCCCAAACGCTTATTTTGGATTCACAACGGGGGAATCGCCGGAACGTGGAAGTTTGCATACTGACATGGACGAGCACAACCTGAAACATAACATCTTGAACGATGTAACAACATAATACACTTTTTCGGTGATGCGCTTTGAATGTGAGGAGTGAGGGACGGCTTCTAAAACGGGCGTGATCGATCCCTGGCAGGGACCAGGAGGTTTGTGCACCAGTCTGCCTGATCTAGCATATGTCCGTGCACTCATGCTGCCCCCAACAGCTGTTTCTATAGAGGAAATTCCTTCCTTCATGAAAGTCTTTTTAACCACAACACTCTACATCGCCATGACGGGTGTTATTTTCCCCATAAAGGAACAAGTCGCTGCCATTATCCCGCTTTCATTACAGGGCATTCTCAACCAAACAGTAACGACATGACTCCCAATATTATTTAAATGTTTATGGATTTAGAAATGTTTTTTTGATTTAAAATTATGTATGTATGATTTAAAAAATAGTTGTATGCTATGTATTGATTTCATTGACATGCAATCGCTAAGAAAACTTGTCCTTTGTTACCGTTTTTTTAACAGTCTGGAATGAAACCGGAGCTCTCAGCTGTGTTTTTACCCACAACTACATGGGCCCATCAACCACGAGCGTCTTCCCCCCTCCCCTATCTTTTCTCTCCAGCAGCTAAATTAACTGTAGGTTATTCTGAGTGACAAGCTACAGTTAACAACAAACTGTCATTGCAACGTGACCTCAGTTAGTTAATTTTATGTTCAACTGTATTCGTTATGATTAAAAAAGGGCTTTATTATATTACCTAATAAGACACGCAGAGGTTTCTGTTATAGGCCCTACCCTAAACCCGTAATCGCTATTAGATTGAATTTTTTAACATAGGGTGCTACTAACATTTCAGGAAGTCACGGACTGGGGTTTATACTTTTAATGAAAAAAGTGACTGGAACCCAAATCACAAAATTGAACCCGAAATTGGCACGTTTTAGTGTTAATAAAACACTATTAATGAAACCAGTCATCGTTATTTTATTCTTATTCTTCTTTATGAGCGCAGAATGTCTTAAAATCGATGTTTTTTAATGAAAATCTGGCGAGCAGGGTATAGTCTGATCACTATGTAATGCGCCGGCGCTAATCGTGGCCCTTCCGCCAGACACTTGTTCGAAATGGGGGGGGCCAGGGGGGGCTTGGTCCCCCGAAAGAGGGGAGTCCTGTGAGGATGAATTTGAGATAACTGGGGCCAATATGTGGCATCTTTGTGTAACAGTTTAGAAATGTTGAGTTTCCCTGTAAATCCGTCTTGAAATAACAATATAGTTATGTTCCTTACAAGTTTTTGAATATTTTTTTACTTTTGTGATTGTCCTGGGTGTTGCCATCTGTACGTGGAGGCGTGCATTCTTCTACGTTGCTTATGGTTATGGCGGTGATGCCGGCGCCTGGTATTGAAATGTTCATATTGATATTTTTTACTCTGGCTTTGTAAAAAATCTGGCACGACGCAAGGTCACAGCTTTTGGATCACCAGCAAAGAGGACGGAAGGAGTTAAATGACCAACATGCACGGAAAAAACTTTTAGTTGGCGCTGTAAAAAGCGGTTTAGTGTCGCAGGCTTGACGCACACGAAAGGGAGAGTGGCCTCAACAAAGGCAACACTCTGCGGCCATAGTGAACACCGTCTGTATTATGTAGAAGAGTGTTTTTATAGCATTGATGCATCCGCGTGCTGCGCCAGTCAACAGAGGTGCGTGTGACTATTAGTAGCCGGAATGGGCAGCCCCGTTTTTAGATTTGGGTATGGGAGGGAAAGAGATGAGGGTTGTTTTTGAACCTGTGTTCCTGGACAAACGGGCCATTTCATGTATAAAAGCGTTAAAAAGTGCATTTTTGATGTAGGTCCCCTTTACTTACTGTCCGGTTAGATTTGAATCAGGCTTACTCGCTCCTTTCTTTTCTTTTTTTCAGTACGGAACCCAAAAGCATCGCGCTTGCTCGTAACAGGGCTTCAACGAGGGTTGAGCAGTATGAGGGATGGCTAAATTGTTGAACTGTTTGGTTTTGAAAAAAAATATGTTTTTGTCTAGGTATGGCTACAATATGTTTATATAGATGATAAGGCACTTTACTTCATCTAGTCAGGTACTTGTACACATGGTTTCTCTGGATTTGAACCATCCTAGCGTTAGGGCAGTGGGCTGCCATATGAACGCGCCGCTGGAGCAGTGTACGGAAACGGTGCCTTGTCCAGCGACCTCGCTAGCCTTGTCTTGCCGGGCTTGAACCAGTGGACTTCGTTGCAGCAAGTCCTTATGGGACTTGCACCACGGTGTTGTGCTACAGGTAGTTAGCAAGCTTTTGCTAAAACGTCCCTTTGGAAGAGAAACATCTGCTCTCTGTCTTATCTGCGTTCTGTTCAGCTGATCCCAAGTCCGCTATTTCACTCTCAGCTTTCCCTCCGTGTTCCTCCTTAAAAGGGTGTTTTTTTAAGTGATTTAATCATTTTCTTTCTCCTATTTCTATGTTTTGTTTCACTCCTCTTCCGTCCACTTTTTATTTAAACGTCAACACTCTCTGGGGCTCCTGTGCCCCCCCCCATTATGGTTGGTGGTGCGTAACCAGCTCTAGAGCTCAAAGGGCGCAGGTTGTGTGGCCCGAGGCTCTATATGTTGATTGAAGGAGCGGGCTGCCTGCACCATTATAACGGCGACATGGGCCAAGATTTCTGCGCCCAAGCAGGAACACGTAACTTAACAGTAGGGCAGGTACCGAGCCCCGATTAAACGGGCCGGATACTGATTTTAAAGCCGTGGTACCGTTAAGCTCGAGTTTCGGTCTTTTATCGGACTGCGTTCATTTCAAACATTTTATGGTCTCTGTGTTTTTCGTTCATACACTATTATTTGTCACCAGTTTTATGTTTTTATGATAAGTAATGCAAACTGCGTCTATGAATAACTTCTTTGTATGTTTGGATTGTCCTGTCCTGTCATGAAGGTCTTATCCGCGCATTTAGGTGTGCCGGAGTCCACGGGGCAGTTTCACACTCAGTTGCTGATTGAGGTACCCAGACCACGCGGAGTCCCAATGGGTCCCGTCATGAACCTGCTGACCTGCCAGTGTGGATTGCATGTTCCTCAGATCTTGTTGTCTGCCCTGCCTATCTTGAGCACCATTGTGTCTCGTCAGATCCTGACTGTACTCCTTGCACCTGAGGTCCGCGGCCATGCAGTTTTGCCCCTCAGATCCTGCGATGGCCGCTCTTACTGTATACTGTTGAGGATGGAGTTAGTCCAGAGTTGGTCGCTTATCATGTCACTCCGACGGGCGCTGCTCCTAAGCAAGTGAGGAGGCAGAATTGCCATCATCATACTTACAGAATGAATTAGTGATGGAGGAGACTAGCAACGATGCTGCGTTGTGTAATTCAAGGAAACAACAGTATTTACTTGCTTTTGCTGCAAGCTGTTCTCCCAAAAAGGTCCAATATCAGCGTGGACTAACTGCTGGAAGAATTGCACGGACAAACTAGAACACATGAGAACAGCCGACACTCTAGAATGACTGTCAAAGACTGGAGGGACTCGTCTGAAAAGGGCTTGTCTTATAACAAGGTAGAAATGTCGTATATGGAGGCTGTAACGTGGACGTTTGATTTTGAAGCTGCTGACCTAGCTAAGGAGGTAGCCTGCCCATGATTCAGCTTTGCGAATATGCCTGCTAGCCGCGAGCCTCTGATACACTAATGATCAAATAAGGCAACTGCTTTGAGGAGTTATTATTCATGTCGAGTTACCCAGTTCTCATACAGCCATCTTGCTGAGGTCAAATAGTATACCACCTTTTCTTTGTTGATGGCTGAAAAATTGATTCCTCAATATGACTGATAGATTGCAGTCGTGGTTTATTTGTCATGGACCATATGGTCGTGTATCAAACATATCCATATACTTTTTAATTATTTTGTATTCATCCCAGATTTGAGCATTACAGAGCTACTGCTCTGTTTATTCGTCTAGTTATTTTGCAATCCTAGGTTTTTATACGCTTCTGAATAATGAACATATTATGGGAGTTAGCCTGAGGTAGAACAGCTAATCTGGATAAAGCTGGTCACCCTGGATACTAAGTGAGAGGATTCAGACCAGCTTGGTATCTCTTATTGAAGACTTTTAGCATCTTATGACATCGTGCAAAATGTAGGATAGAGGCTAGTAGTCCAAGCGACTCTCACATCATTCCAAGGCTTTATTGTGTGCGGACGCTCCTACATGGAAATCTGGTGGTAGCTGATGCAGCGCTCTTGCAGAAGACACTACCTGCTGTGGCTACCTGCAGAAGCTTTCCGACACTGCTTCTCTGCCTGCTTTCAGAGATGGTCCAGACCTCCTTATTAAAGCCAGTTGTGAACTTGCATTAATCATGGTCTGATACCAGTATGCGGCAGTTATTGCGGATCATACATGTTTTTAGGCTTGTATGTGCTCTCTATAATCTTCAGATGTCACTGAGATGTACTTCTAGAGCCCAGTTGCGGGATAAGGCCACCGATCGGAGTCTCACATATTGCGTCACACTCTGAGGCTTGTAGAGTTTGGCTCATACCGCTTTGCAATATGCCTCTGTGTTATCGTTATGACATCCTGTGACCAACATCAAACATGTCAGCAAAATGTTGCAATCAGTGTCCAATGCAGCTGGATATTGCCTGTTGACCTCCTGAGAAAACCAGAGTTTCTTTGGTTCAGCTACAGAGGCAATGGATTTGCTTCTGCCAAGCTCTGCAAAGACATCTGTGGCAAAATTGAATGTGGAGCTGTTCTCAAGCAGAAGGAGCTGATGATCAATCAAGAAACAGTTCTCCTATGAGTCGCAGGAGGGCAAGTGGAGTGATGCCTAAAGAAACCTCGAAGTTTCTTTTTTCAATATGGTGGTGGATGTTTCCATTGCATCACTGCAGGAGCGATTCCAAGGCCTTTAGGTGAAGTAGAGGAAAAGTTTGGGGGTGCTTACTCAGCCTTCCCTGACTGCCCAAAGGGAAGATCTGACGGAAGCAGTGTGAAACACTCAGCAACACCCTGCGCAGACCTGGATAAGAGGGAACTTGCACTGGAGATGCAGGAATTTCCCAGCTTGCCAAAAGGCCAACATGACCACCCTGGAACTTCTGACTTTCCTACAGGAGAAGAAAATGAACAAAGTGTATTCAAATATGTGGGTGGCCCTCAGGATCGCTGTCACTATTCCAGTGACAGTTGCTGCTGGGGAGATGAGCTTCTCCAAATTGAAGCTCATTAAAACATCATCATTGTCAATGGCTCAAGAACGCCTCAATGGATTAGCTTTAATAAGCATCAATCGCGAGGTTTCGGGGCAAATATCCTTTGACGATACAATAAATGAATTTGCAGCAAGGAAGTCCAGACGTGTCCGACTTTAAGGATGTGGACTAATTAAAGGACACAATAACATAGCAGAGACTTGTTGTTCTGATTGCCTGTTTCATTTGATTTATAGTGTGTGTAATGTTGTTCATTATCTTAATTTATTTGCAATAACCTCAGTTGTAAGAGCTCTGTTGGCTATATTTGTGTCCATGTTTGCACTTTATTTTCTTAAAGTTTTAAGAGAAGCTACTTTTGTTTGATGAGTGATTTTCATTTAATAACTACAATAGTAATAATAAGGATACAATAAATAAATATGTTACATTTATTTGTTATTGGTTATGTTCACATACTTATTTGGTTATTAAAATGTAAACCGATCTTTTTCATATGGGTGTTTTAGAGTTGTACCTCCAATCAGGTCTCTAGTAAGTGTGTGCTCAAAGTGCACCAGATTGAAGCATTTTACTTTAAAATGTTTTTAAAAAAAAAGAAATCCCCCCCCTAGAGGATGTGACATCCACTCCCCAATTAAAACATGTTCATACAATAATGAACACATTTGAAACCTTTATGTATATTACCTATGTCAATAAGTTTCTGTTTTTGTAGTGTATTGGTCTTTTGTAGAGATTTTTCATTTATTCTTTATATATTCTATTGTGTATTGTTGGAGGGCACCAAATCATAATCTCGCCTAGGGCACCAAAATGTCTAGGGCCGGCCCTGCTTCCACGAGTAACGTTTCCACGTCAGGTATGTTATGTATACCTTAATCTTCCTCCAGAAGAACCTTTAGGCCTTTTGCAGCATACCTGTATGCCCCACCTGTGTTGCTCTGTACCACTGTGTTTATGCAGTAAATACTTGTTTTTTGTTTGTTTTTTACAGTTCTATAAGTTCACATAATTTACGATTTGTTTAATTAATTCACCTTTTTTTTTTCTTCAAAAGAACCGGTAAGAGTACAGTACTGTTAAATGACCGGATCGATAAGCGGTATCGATAAAAGTAGAAGTACCGTTAAAACCTTAACGATACCCATCCTTACTTAACAGTAACTTTAGACATTGTAAAACAATTTGAATCTATATTTTATCATAGATTATACCTTTTATTTATACCAACTATATACCTTGTTAATACAAAATAAAGTATAAAATTAATAAAAATGTAAGTATTTTTTTAATGACAATTAAGAATGTGGGAAGAGGTGGGGCCGTGCCCCTAGCACCCCTATGGGCCGGGCGCCACTGTTTTCATCATGTTAATGTTTACGGTTAAACCAAAATCTATATTATGAATATGAAACAGTTTACCTAATAGATTCTATGATCTCCCAATTCTGGGTTAGCTTCTTTCATCCATGT